TCTCCTGACCTCCTCAGGCACTACAGTTCCTCAAACGAAGCACCGGTGTGGTGCTGGGTAGTGACTCGGCCCCTTGGCACTGCCTGTTCTAGGTGCCGCCATGCTGCCATTGCTAAGTACTTTGGGGATGCGCCACCCGCCTGCGCCAAAGGCTGCGACCACTGCCAGAGTCCTGCAGCCTTGAGGAAGAAGCTTGATGCCCTGGACCGCAGCAACGGCTGGAGCAAGACCTGCATTGGGCCCTTTCAGGGGAACGCCTTCGATCCTGAGCTGTATGAGGGAGGCCGCAGGGGCTATGGGGGCTTCAGCAGGTGAGGAGCCAGCAAGTGCATGCCATGCCACTGCTGCCAGTGAGGCCTAAGGTGGCCTTCCTGCGGTGTGCCACAGATCTTCCTGGGGCCAGCATGGCGCTGTCCCATCACCTGGGGAAGAGCAGAGCCCCGGCCGTGGCTCTCACCCAGCCTGTCCTCTAGGTATGACGAAGGTTCTGGCGGGAGCGGTGATGAGGGCAGAGATGAGGCCCACAAGCGCGAATGGAATCTTTTCTATCAGAAACAGATGAGCCTGCGCAAGGTAAAGGGGGCAGAGGCCTCGACGGGCCTCGGGGCTCCATTTGGTTACTCTTGCTGTGAGAAAACACCATGTGTGACCAAAAGCGACATGGGAAGGGAAGGTTTATTTGGCTGACGCTTCCACATCACAGCCCAGCATTAGGGGAAGTCAGGGCAGGAGCTCAAGCAGGAAGCTGGAGGCAGAACTGAACCAGAGGCCGTGGAGGGCGCTGCTCACCTTGCTCCCTTGCTGTCTGATACACCCCAGGACCGCTCGCCCGGGAGTGCACAGCCCACAGTATCTGGCCCCTTCCACATTTTCTATCAAGAAAATGTCCCCACAGAGCAGTCTGCAGGAGGCAGTTCCTCAGCCGAGTTCCATCTTCCTAGAGTCTTTCTAGTTTCTGTCAAGTTAATGAAAAACCTAAGCTGGCATGGTGGCACACGACTCCGATCCTAGCACTTAGGAGGCAGAGGCCAGAGTACAAGGCCGGGGACTGCATACATAGCAAAACTCTGTCTGAAATGCGCTGCCCCCCTAAAAAACAAAAGAGCACATAGTGGCCCATACAGGGTCCTGGATGGTCCTGAGCACCGCCTCTCAGCCCCTTCTCTAGCCTTTCGGCAGGATAGGATGTCTCATGCCCTTCCTGCTGTCTGTCTTTCAGGGCAAAGAGCCCAAGATAGAAGAATTCACACCCCCAGGTTGGTACAGAAATGCTCCCAGGGGCTGGGCTGCTGTGCCCAGGTGTGAACAGTGGCGGGCTCAGGGAGGGTCAGAGGAGCCGCCGGTCAGATGGAAAGCCTTTCCTTCCCTTTTCTCAGATGAAGACTGTCCCTTAAGAGATGCTTCAAGCAGGAAGATCCCTAAGCTCACAGTGAAGGTAAGAGAGGGGCAGCTTTTCACTTGCTCTCAGGGCCCCTCCCTGCTCAAGTTGTGGGGGTGACCGCAACTTCACTCTCATAGGCCCGTGAGCACTGCCTGAGACTTCTGGAGGAGGCTTTGAACAGTAACCACCAGGCTGCAGGGTCCACTCATGGGTGAGCATCCTGAGATCACCAGGGTAGGAACCAAGGCTTACTCCCTCGGAGAATGCCCCTCTGCAGTCATAGCTCATCTTACTCCATGGGGCCCAGTCCCTACAGCCCTACTGGGTGTGCACCAGAGGCTACTAAAGGACAGTACACTGCAGAGTGCCTAGAGAATCCTCACCAGAGTCCATGTGCCTGTCCTCACTAGCCCCAGCTGGTCTCCTGTTCCTGTTTCTTCCCACAGAGCTGACCTGCAGGCCAAGGCTGTGGAACTGGAGCATGAGACATTTCGAAATGCCAAGATGGTCAATCTGTACAAGGCCAGTGTTCTGAAGAAGGTAAACCAAAGGTGCAAGCCAGGTGTGCACGCTCACGGACTTAGGATAAGGCAGGGCAGCCTCTTCGTACTCAGAGGCCATCTTCTGGCCTGCTGGCCCTGGAGCCACTGACACCAGTCTGTCATGGGCAGACTGGAGGTGTGCCATCCCAGTGAGAACTCCCACTGCCCCAGCATCCACTCCCTGCTGAGCTGTGCAGAAGCACAGCCGAACTGGAGGGTTGGGATTGGGTTAAGCAGTAGCTTGTGGGTGCCATGGTCTCCCTGCCTGTTCTTTAGGTGGCTGAGATCCACAAAGCCTCCAAGGATGGGCAGCTCTATGACATGGGAGGCAGCACCAAGAGCTGTGGGGCCGCAGCTGAGCTCCTGGAGCCCAGTGACTATGACATCCCGCCAACCTCACATGTGTACTCGGTGAGCAGGGCAGGGACCACTGTCAGCCTGGGTTCAGGGGAGGCGCCACTGCCCCATTGCCCTCTAGTGAAACAGACTTCCTGTCAGAAAGGGTCACAGAGCAGTGTGCTCTGCCTCCTGTGCGTCATCTGTCAGTCGGGCCCTCTTCTCCCACCAGCCTGATCCCCAGTGTGCCCTGTCCAGCTGCTCGATTCCTGAGAGCCTCTCACCACAGCCTCCACTGCCCTGGAGGAGATCTGGGGTTCTAAGCCTTGTGACTTCTCCTCACAGCTCAAATCTAAGAGAGTAGGAGCTGGCTTCTCCAAAGGCCCCTGCCCATTCCAGACAGCCACAGAACTGCTGGGGAAGTCTCAGTCCCAGAAGCAAGCCCCAGAGGCTGCGATGGACAGTGAACAGGAGCCCCCAGGCTGGGTCTGTGACCTTCAAGATGAAGACAGGAGCAAGCCCCGCCCTGGGTACCAAGAAGAGGCTCCTGGAAGCAGTGTTAATTGTGGGGATCCCTCGCCTGAGAAGAGAACAAAAGGGTCTTCCCAGGGCAGTTCCAAGGCTAGATCCAGCAAGAAGCAGCAGCTCCTAGCCACAGCAGCCCGCAAGGATTCCCAGAGCATCACTCGATTCCTCTGTCAAAGAAAACAAGGCCCGCCTCTCCCTGCTTCAGTCCCAAGATCAGAAGATGGCAGCCCCTCCTGTGGAGATGTCTCAGGGAAGTGCACAGAAGAGGTTGGAGCCCAGGATCATCTGGCTGCTGTATTTCAGACTGGGTGTCCCAGGGAGAAGCCAAGGTAAGAGTTGGGTGTCAGGGACTCCTCATGGTTCTTATGGCAGCACCTGACCCCTGTGCTGCCTGGGTCTGTGAAGCTTGAAGCTCATCCCACAGCGGGCCCTGCTGGGTGCCTGGGTTGAGAGAGTGTCTAGACCCAGACTTCTGATGCCTCTTCTCTCTGGCCAGCACCTGCTCACTGGGAGAACAGAGCTTTCCTGAACGTCAGCCTAGCCCTCTAAAGGAAACCCAGGCAGACAAGCGGCCCAGACCACAGCAGGTACTGCAGGGGGCTGGGGGCTTCAGGGAACGAGGAGACTGGTGGCAAGGCGGGGAGCCGCCCTGCCCTGGTCTGGGTTCAGGGAAAATCGCCTCTCATACTCTAGCAGCAGGTGGGATGGGCTGGCGCTGAGGTGAAGGCTTTCTTCAAGAAGGAGGTAGAGCCAGTAAAGGGGACCCCAAAAGTAACCCCATGTGCTGTGGCTTTATACAGGGGAACCCAGAGAGGAGGGCTCAGAAGAGGCTTCGCCCCTCAACCAAGTCCTCCATCTTGGCTGAGGTCAAGGGCAGTGCCTTGGCCAGTGAGCCCAGCACCGAGAACAAAATGGCTCAAGAACCTTGCCAGCTCTCAGCATCTGGCATCTCCCTGAAAGAGGCTGCAGACGTTGTGGTCAGGTACCTGACCCCCTTCTACAAGGAGGGCAGGTTTATATCCAAGGTAGGGTGAGTAGGCCTGGAGTACTTGGGTCAGTGCAAGGGAGGTTGGGGCTGGCAGGGACTGTGTACCCCTGAAGTAAGGCAGAACAGCTGCTGTCACTCAAGACCTGCCTCGCCCCTGGTGGCGAGTGGCTCAGGCTCCTCTGCTCCCTTTGCCTTCCAGGACTTGTTTAAGGGCTTTGCCCGCCACCTGTCACATCTGCTGGCTCAGCAGCTCTCTCCTGGAAGGAGTGGTGAGTGCCAGCTTGGCCAGAAGGCACTGTGGGGGGGAGGGGATGCTGCCCAGAGACTGGTCCTTACCTGCTCCTGTGCCCCTTACCCACATCTGCAGTGAAGGAAGAGGCCCAGAACCTCATCAAGCAGTTCTTCCGCAGTCGTGTCCGATGTGAGAGCGAGGCTGACTGGCAAGGCCTGTGTGGCCCGCAAAGATGACTGCAGCTCCTTCCTGCCCTCGGTGCCGCAGGCACCAGCTTTCTCAGGGTCTTTCTCCCCGAGCCCAAACCTCACTTTGGAGGTGTCACTAGACACCCGAATGAAGTGGAAGGTCAGAGGTCAGCCCACCTTCCTACTTAATCCCTCGTGGTCCTTTCTCACAGCCTGCTTCTCCTGGCCTTCATGGTCAGATCCCCAGACTGAAAGTTCCAGATAACATGGCTGCTGTCGGGGGAGGGGGTGGGAACCCATGGGCCTCCTACGTATTGTACCAAAGTTGTCTACCAGGGTAAGGCCCATTCTGGCCCTCCACTACCCTCTTCCATGAGATGTCAGGCGGTAGGCCTTGTCCTAGCAGAGCTCACTGGGAGGGAAGCAGTTGTTCTCCAAGTCCTGAGCTCTCTGCTCATCAGGAAGGCCAGGCCCAAGTGAGATATTTTCGAAAATAAAGTCCCCGTGGAGACACATGCTCACACACACACACAGTCTTTTCTTGGGTGTTTTACTTGTGCTGTTTTAGAGCTGAGTGACCATTTTCCCCAGGCTAGCCCTCCAATGCCCACACCCAGTTCCACAGCCCCATCTCTTGTTCCAGTCTGCCTCAGAGGAAATGCATCTGCTTACTCTCCCAGGTGAAGTCACAACCCCTGCCTTATGGCCTCCACGTGGGGTTGTGCTGCAGTTTCAGAGCAGGACCGGGCAGCAAGAACTAAGGCAGACAGCCCAGGGAGAGCCCACTGCCTCATCTCCACTCTCCTCAGAGGAGGCCTGGCCACTGAGTGGACAGACTGCCCAGCAGGAAGACAATGGTGTGATGCAGCTCCTGGGCCTGGGGGCAGAGACAGCTCAGTGTGGCTCCACACCTCCACCACTCGGCTGAATACACACACTTTCTTCCTAGGGATTACAGAAGGCTTGGTCACTCACCTGTGGCAGCTCCAACCAGATGGTCTGGGGGTTGTCAGCAGGCCCATAATTGAGTTCCAGGCCAGGGGGCCCATCCTCCTTCAGTGGGCTCAGCAGGTGGAGCTGGTGCAGGTCTTTCAGGATGATGGAGCAACAGAGTTTCTGGGGTAGCAGATAGGCCAGAGATTGGTGCCCGGGCGGTGGGGGTAGCAATGAACTACGTGAGGAATGATCTGGGTCCCAGCCAGCACGCGAACAGGAACTCTGCCTACCTGAGAGCTGGGGTCCATGATGACGAGGTGTTGGCGGTTGAGCCCCAGGAGGACTGGCCCAGGGAGGACCAGCTTACTCACTTTGAGTACCACATACACAGTGTGGCCAAAGAGGGGCAGCTGGGCTGTGGTCTCTGTGGGTAGAGAACAGGACAAGGGGCTTGGCTGCTGATCTCTGGGACCTACCCCACTTTACTCTGCAAGATAGAGACCTCCTTACCTTCCCTCCTCATCCTCCCCTCCTGGGCCTTGACCCTCACAGGCAGCAGGCCCTTGATGTAGTGACATAGACCTACCGAGAAAGCCAATCTGTGCTTTCTCCTTGCTGTACCCTTGCATCTGCCTCAGCTCCTGGTTCACCAAGCTCTTTATGTTGGCCGTGTTCACCTGCCATTGCAGTGTCTTGGGAATATAAGACAGCAGCTCTTGCCTAGGGTGCACAGCCAGGGTCAGTTCAGCCTGTGGGCATGGACCCTGGTGCAGGCTGAAGCACGTGGTGCCAGTTAATGACTGGCACCTATTATGGATAAGGACCCTGGGGCCTTGCTCAGGAGCAGGTTGGGGAGGGGCAGGAAGAGAGGTCTTTACTACTCCAGGCCAGTGTGGTCAGGATCAGGACAGGCTACGTGAAGGGGCCTTGTCTGAAGGCAGTAGACAATAGCCGCCCTTAGGTTTGGGGACAGGTTGAACTGAGGTCACTCACTCTGACGGAGGACGAGTGCTGCTGGTTCTGTCGAGGTGTTGGAAGGCAGCAAGCTGGGCAAGTAGAGCCTCCGCCTGGGCACTGACGATCAGCTTGCCCTGCAGGTAGTCCCGTAGCACCTGGGTGGGAGGGCTGTGTCACAACCTCCCCAGCAGCTGGTGACTTCTGGTCACAGAGCGTCATCATGGAGAGGGGAGTCCAGAGGTTGCCCAGACAGGAACTTCCCACTCTTAGCAGTGACACTGCACAGCAGTTTCTGAGCAGGGGCTGACCTGGCCATAGTGGATTTCGGTGTATGTGAGGTGATCAAAGTGCAGTGGGGTCTCCCAACCAAGCCGCCGGCTGTGCAGGCTCATGTCCTGGTCTGTCATCACATTGTTGATGTACTCATGGGATGACAGTGGCCGAACCAGCTCACCTGTACAGGGGACCCATGCCAGCACTGACCACAGACACAACACAGAATCTGCGTTTCTGTGGCGTAGACAGTGGCCCGGGCAGGTGAGGCCGTCCCGGCCCCTGGACTCACCTTCCCCTTTGATGAGGAAGAGGGCAAATTCCTGCACTTCCTCCGAGTCTGTGATGCCCATCTGTCCACACAGCTCCTCTAGCACTTCCCCCGCCACCTGAGCACAGTGGACAGGCCGTGACGATGAAGACTGAAGCCCAGAGCGTAGGCAGGAAGCCCCTTTCCGTGGTAGCCCCCACTTACCGTGAATGTCTGTGAATTCGTCCTGTAGTCCACACTTCCAGGCAGGTGAATTACAAGCAAACGAACTGCATGCCCTTTCTGTCGGGTAAGTTGTAAGGTCAGTCTTCAGCAACCAGAGGTCCCTGCTCCCCTGTCAGCACTGTCACCCCACCCAATTATAGGGGAGTCCTGAAAGGCCCATCAGTCCACTCCTAGTACCAGAAAAGCATGCATTTCACCAGGTAACGGCAGGTGCTGGCGTCCCCCGTATTTAACTGTGCGCTGGAGGTTCTCCTGGCTCCACTGGGCCAGCTCTGCAGAGAGCCAGAATGGTGGAGGTCACAGGTGTGTCCAAGCCCTTTATGTGGCAGGGCACTCTCAACCCTGGACATCCCTCTTCCCATCCCAGGCACCTTGGCTGGGGCTGGAATCCTGCAGGAACTTGGTCACATAGGGCATCAGAGTGGTGGATGGCGCAAAGAAGCCCGTGAAGAGGCTGAGGACACTCCAGCCCAGAGCACAGTGCTTTCTGCAGGGCAGATCTGAGTCTCAGGCCAGCCAACCACAGTGCTGGTCCCACCTGAGTCCCCTACCTACTCCACAAGCCCCACTCACGGCTGGGGGTGTCCTGTGACTTGCTTGATGACCTGGCAGTACATCTCGTCCCTGAGGTCCTCTTGGCACAGCTGTGGGAATGGGACGAGTGAGTGGGTAAGGCGGGGGCAGGCCAGCAGAGCCCAGGGGGCTGTTGGAGAATGAGTGATGACTGCCTGAGGCCTTAGTGAAGGTGACATCCCAGGAGTCACCTCTTTGCCCTCAACAGCTGCTAGCCCAACTGGTCACTTATTTTTATACTCCATTGGAGATGGAACCCAGGGCCATCAGAGTGTTATTAGACGGTGGGGCTGGGGAGAGGGCCCAGTTAAGAGCACTTGCCACTCCTGTCTGTAGAAGACTAGAGTTCAGTTCCCAATGCCCATGTCAGGCAGATGACCTAGAACTCCAGCCTCAGGGGACCTAAGACCCTCTCTTCCAGCCTCTGCAGTCACCTGCACGTGTGGGTACACATAAACCACATGATTAAATCTCAATTCTGAACAGGAGCTGGCAAAATAGTTCAGTGGGTCTGAGGACATTCCCGACCAAGTCCTGTCCCAGTAATTCACATGGTGGAAGGAGAGAACAGGCCCTCCACAGGGCGTCCTCTAGCCCTGTGCACACACAATTTAACAGGGCTAACTAAGTGCCATGCTGAAAGAGGCAGCTGTGACCGCTGCCCTTCAACCTGCTTCTCTGAATGTTCTGGTTATCTTTGCTCACTCCCTGTCTCTGCCACATGCCTATGGCCTCTGTTGCATGCCTATGGGCTCTGCCGCATGCCTTTGACCTCATCTGGCTCAGTCCCTGCCTCCAGTCTAGAATCTTGGATCCCAGGCCACTCCATTCAGAAATCAGGAACTTTTGACCTCCCATGTCTAAAACAGATCCTCTGCCAGACCAGACCTGTTCATTAAGGCTCCTCTCTGCTCTCTGGCTCACATCCACAGTAAGCTCTGTGACACCCCACCCCCACCTCCACCTCTCCCCTCTTTGCTGCTGCCTCTGGGCCCAGACCAGCACCCTCCCTCGCCTGGGGTCCTCACAGTAACTTCCTTTCCTCCTTAAGTCCCTAGAATACCAAGCAACAGCCAGAGTGACCCTGTGAGACAGAGCAGCGGTTCTCATCAACAAGTTATAGGTTTGACTGGAAAATCAAAGCCCATGTTATGGCCTGAGCCCGCACGCACATGGCTCTGTCCTCCCTCAGAGCTCAGTCACAAAGCTTTCACCTCAGCAGCACCCGCCACTGCTCCTGTCTCTCCTGTGAGATTGGACCCTGCAGTGACCTAGCCTCCACCTGTTTTAGGTGCCCAGCACCTGCTTTGAGTGTTTAGGGGTATCTGGAGACGATGTATTTTGAAATGTATTTGTAGAGCTGGTAAGATGGCTCAGTGGGTAAAGATGTCTCTGGAAGCCTGCCGACCAAGAGCCACAGAGTCGAGAGTCGTCTCCCCGGCAAGTTACCCTTAACCTCCTCAGGCGTGCTGTGTGTGCACGCACACGCTCGTCCCTATGAAAGTGTGAGTGCGCACAGATGGCAGCAATGTGAACTCAGGAGCTAGGAGCCTCGTTGATCTTTGTTCCTATAGAAACTCACTGAATATTGGCTTTATATGGACTATAACTTTCAACCTAGCATACTAACTAAAGAGTGCACCCCTCAGCTCTTAGGAAAGCATTTATAGTTTGCAGAGTAGAATAGCCAGAAAAGTAGCACCGTGAGCTGTTTTGAAGATAAAGTATTTTGAAAAAATTGAGAAACTGGGGTTGGGAGGTTGGGGGCAGGGGGGGGGGGAGCGGACGGTGGGGAGAGTCCATCCAGGCCCAGGCGGGAAGGATGCTCCAGGCCTTGGCACACACACTTCCGGCTCACCTTCAGCAGCTCATAGAGCAGAGAGAGCGAATCCTTGCCCCGGGGCTTAGGCTGGTCCCCCATAAACTGCATCAGAGCTGCAGGCAGGATGCAGAGTGCAGTTAGCCGTGCCCCCTCATCAAGCCTCACGCCTGATGTCTTACTCTCCACACCCACCAGGGAGGACAGTCGTCTCTAACTTGGTGGAGGAGGAAGTAGACTCAGGGAAACCCCAAGGGTGCCAGTGTCACCCGGCTGCCCCAGATGCCACACAGGCCATGGATGGAGAAACAAGCTGGTGGGGCAAACTTCCTAAATGGCAGATGGGTAGACCCAGGGAGAGCTCAAAGTGAGAAAGGAGTCAGGTGCCCAGGTCCAAAGCATTGCACACAGCGCCCAAGGCTGCCTGCAGCCACTCACCCTTGAAGCCAGCCACAGCCTTACTGTTTGTGTCCTCACTGCAGAAGCTGGTGAGGGATTCCTGGATGGGGTCCTGTGACCAGAGAGTCTTAGCTGTCACACAGGGCCATGGGAGTCAGAAGGCGGATCCTAGGGCCAGACTCCTCCCCAACCAGGCCCCTTGCCTTAGTGTACTGGATCATGTTGAGGACAGCCGTCCTTTTGGTATCTCCACTCATCTGGGTCAGCCTGTGGAGGGCAGAGGAAAAGACAGCCCTGCTTGCTTGGTCTTGCCCTTGTCCCCAATCATGAAGCCCATTGTAAGATCAATGGCCTGGTGACTCCGTGGGACTTTTATTGGGGAAAGCTGAGGTCAGACAGGCACAGGGATTGGTTCAGAGCACTCACCAGGTATGAGGCTTCCGGAAGTAGCGCAGGGCAAATTCCTGCATGGTGTAGTTGTGAGAGTCAGCAGACAAAGAGCTGCAGGATGTAAGGGAGGTGGCCTCCGAGTCTTCGAGGGGTTCTTGTTTCCTGGGATGGGCGGGGCGCTGGGAGCACAGGAAATTTGGTACCACCCCAATACCCACCATCTAGCCCAGAGGCCATGTACCCACTCTCACGTCCTGGCCGCCATACCCATTAGACCGAAGAGGAGTAACACCAGAAACCAGGAAAGCCAAGGTTATTTATTAAGCATCCTCTATGGAGACACTGAACTAAGTACCAGAGTTAGAGGGTGTGGCTTACAAAGTCTCAAATGGCAAAAAATAAGGAGACGGTAAAGGACAGGGACACAGTGAGCACTGGCCACCAGGACACAGGAAGTAGGCGGCACCCGAAGCGACCCTGCTCTTTCCTTCTGAGACTCCAGGTTAGGCCTGTTATCACTTCACCTCTTCTGTCTTCCTCACCTCCTGAGCTGGCCCTGGCTTACTCTTGCGCTGCCAGCTGTTTCTCTTTCCCAGGGAAAAGGCGAGGTCGGGGGCAGCCGCTGGCTGCACCAAGTCAGCAGGAAAGAGTCCTGAGCGGCCCCCAGCAGAGCCAAACTGCCAGCCTAGAAGACATTCCCAAAGGATGGTTCACCTACCTCACCCCTATGCCATGTGGCAGCCTCCCTCTGCCCGCCCTGGGGATACCTGGTTCCAGAGTGGCCACCGGCAGTAGCCTAATGAGGTCCCCACGATGGAAACTGAGGAGGCTGTTGTCATCGGTGATATAGCTTCTCAGGGCGATGACATAGCCAGAGTCCTGCGGGCAGGCAGGTGAGCCACTACCTGCCTGGGCGTCCTCCCAGCCAGTACCCAGGCATACCAGAAACCTTGACTTTTAAACTCAACCCAGGGAAGCCAGGCAGCACAAGACAGCCCACACTTGCCTTCCTGAGCTCACTCAGAAACTGTTCCACCATGGCCCTGATGGCCCTCGCCCAGGTTGTGTGCAGTATCAGCTGCTCATTCTTCAGGGACAGCTCCAGGGTGGATCTGCCCCTGCACTGCACAGCCAGGACCTCAGCATAGCTGCGTACAGAGCCAGGATGTGAGCTAGAGACCAATCCTGGCCACCCAGGCCCAGGTTCTGCCTCAGTTTACCTGTAGGAGCAGAGTGTCTTCAGCTGCTCCAGGTGGAAGCTCGAGCTTTGGGTTACCCTCAGCAGCCTCAGTCCCCGGTGAGACACACCCAGAAGCTGCACGTCACTGCCGCTCTCCCCCTGTCAGGAAGGCGAGTGGGTCAGTCACGCCTCCCGGGGCAGCGATCTGGAGCCCCTGAGCACAGAGTTCCACAGCTGAGCAGGGTCACTGACCGAGACTGGGAAGATGCGTGAGAAGTAATTGGCCCAGTTGTCCCGAGCAGCAACCACGACGCGTTTTTTGATGCTCTCTTCAGCAATGTCAAGGGAGTCCAGGCTCAACTCCAAATCTCCTGTGGGCAGGAGGGTCCATGAAATCCTTTTTCCCATGACACACCCCCTCAAGGGCAGGCCCAGCCCCTCCCCCTGTACCCTATCTCTGAGGACCCATACCCAGAAGGCCTTTCATCTTGTGCCGCTCATCCTGTGAGATCCGGGTGCAGGACTCTGTGAAGGTGTCCCGCAGGATCTGTGGGCAGAGCAAGGCGGTCAGCACCAGGTCCAGAGACTAGAACTCACCCACAGCAGCATGGGTGTGTGCTGCACAGGGGCCCAGTGGCGGTGCATACACAACCCAGCCCTGCCGGCTGAGTCCGGCAAGAGACACAGGTGGGCCAGGCAGAGGATGGGGGACAAAGCAGAAGGCTCCCAAAGCTCATGATCATGTCCAGACCTAGAGTTCTTCCTTCCCTACCCCACAGCCACCACAACCCTTCAGCACCATGGTCTGCTGCCGTTGGCATAGTGTATCAGCTGAGACACACCGCCCTGCCAGAAACAACCAAGTAATGACCATTTATGAAGCACCTAGTGTGTGCTACAGCCTGGGTCACGTACACTTTGGCCCTCTCATCTGCAAAACTAAGTTGGTCACCATGCCTTGCCTATCTTGTAAGGGTCCTGTGGGGCAGGGCTCTGCACAAAGGCAGTGCTCTCTGAGTGCCCACCAGCCGTTACTATACTCCTCACAGGCTGTTAAACTAGGCCCAGGTCTGAGCAAGGGTTCCTAGGATGCAGTCGATCTGTGGGTGTGGCGGGTTGGTGGGTGTGGCTAGGCTCTCACCTGCTGGCAGAGGAGATTGAGGCAATATGGATGACTGAAGTTCTCCCGGGGGTAGAACACCTAAGGCACAGTGGAAAGAGCCAAGATCAGATGCCTGGCTGTGCTGTCCCGTGCCTTCCCCTGCCCTCCCAGGCTCAGCCGTGAAAACCAGCTTTGAAAAAGTGGTTCATGAGAAAGGGGATGTGCTGGGCTTTTGGGCTTGGACCTCACCCAGCCCGCCACTGCCCTGCCAGCCCCAGAAGCCTGAGGCCCCACTCCTGTGCCCACCTCCTTTCGTAAGAACAACTTCCAGGGTGCGTTGGCGTAGGAGAAGCACACACTTCCGGAGGGCACAAGGAGCTTTGTGGAGATGCCCGTGTCCTCCATGGGCTCTGTCAAGGCTGGCAGAGGGAGAGGAGAGCCTTAAGATGAGGACCTACAGAGCTGGAGCTGGGACTGAGGTGCCCGAGTCCATCAGCCTGGCCTGTTTTTCTCAGCCTCCAACCACTTCAGCTGTGACTCCTGGCATTATCCTGCCTTCATTTCTGGTCCTGAGTTTTTCCTAGTGTCCCTGACCATGTTAGCTGCAGCCACTGAGTCTTCACCCCTCCCCCACCCCACATGCACGCGCGTGCGCGCGCACACACACACACAAAAACACATCTGTCAGGTCTACATGGAGGACAACACCCTGTAAAGGTCAGTCCTTTAGTGCCAGACGGGCTCCAAGGTGCCTCTGCCCTACCCTGGATAGGAATGAGGAAACTAGGCCTCTCAGACTCCAAAGTCCAGATACCCAAACAGCTGGCCTCAGCCAAATGGGGATGACTTCTGCCATGAGTCCCAAGAGGCTGTCATGAATGCTGTCACCAACCCAAAGAGGCTCAACACTGGAAAGGGGATTCCTCACCACGAGACTCCACTGAAGGGGTCTTGGGCTCCTCAGGCAGAGGTAGTGGGAGGGCTGGTGGGGGCGGGGGTGCTGGAGCCACAGGTGGGTTTGGGTTACATGGGCCAAACAAGTCCCGAAGGGGTCCCTGCTTTTCCTGGATGGATATGGAGGGCTCAAGGCGAGGTTGAGCCTTGGATCGAGGAGCCACATCTGGTGGAGAGCCCTTCCCTTGGTTGGGCGATGTCTGCAGGAGAAGGCATAAGCCTATGGTCAAGGACAAGTTTAGCCTGAAAGCCTAGGACCCCCTGAGCAAATCAGCGCATGCCCTGGAGAAGATGACCGGCTGGGGGCGGGGCTCACCGATGGGGGCGAGCGGGTGCCATTTATTCCCAACTTAGCCAAAGCCTCATCCTTAGGGTCGTTTTTCTTCTGAAAAGTTTTAATGGGTCTTGGGGAAGAGAGGGAACGTTAGTAGCGCACAGGGCGATTCCCGGAGGAGAGAACCGGCTCTGGCCACATCCTCCCAGGGGCTACCTGCTGGGTTGTACAGGCACGGGCACAGGCCCCGGGCGGCTCTGGTACATGCGGATGATGTTGCGGATTTCCCTGCTAGGTTCCGGGCGCTGAGGTGTGGGGTTGGAGCTCTGCACTGTGGGAGCCCTGCTGGGTTTGGGGCGCTGAGGTGTGGGGTTGGAGCTCTGGACTGTGGGAGCCCTGCCCTGGGTCGGCACTTCCTCCTGTGCGGGTTCCACCTCATCCTCCTTTACAGCTTTGGGCTGACTTTGTCTCAGCGGCTTCTTCACCACTGGGGGAGGAGGAGGAGGAGGAGGGGACACCTCTGCCAGGAAGAGAGAAGACAATTGAACACTGTAGGCTTTATGGGAACTCCGGGAGCCGCAGCCCACCACACCTACCCGCTGCTTCCTCCTCATCCTCCTCTGTCTCCTCCTGGGGGATCTGAACCTTGGCTGGAGGCTTCACCGTCTTCACCTTGATTGGCTCTTGCCCTGAAAAAAAATGGCCTCTTCTGTCACCTGTGTTTGTCCAGTTTGCTTCCCTGGGCTCCTGTCCACACTGGCAGAGGAACACAGTGCAGTCTCCCCTTCCCAGGCTACAGGCATCAGTTAATTCCATGGCTGCCCCTCTGAGGACCCTTACCCATCTTCTGGAAATAATCCCGTTTCTGTTGGAAGCTCTTGGGGCGCTGAGGCCTGCTTTCAGCCTCCTCTGGAGTGTCCTCCTGACAGAAGGAGGAAATGGAGACCAGCCCCCAGACAGCCATGACCCCATCCTCACGACACCCGCTTCTGGTAGCTTCTCACACCCCATCCTGCCTACCCTCCTCCTAGTGTCTCATCTTGGTAGATCCGATATCAACCTCCCACCTGTCACCCACCAGACCAGACCTGACCCAGAGCTCTGCCTAGCCTAGGTTTCTTACTCTCAAGTAAACATCCAAAGGTTCTAGGTTATTCTCTGGCTTCTCTTGGGGAGCAGGAGGCTTCTTGACCTTGGGAGCAATGGTTGAGGGTGGAGGGTGAGAGGCAGCCTCAGAGGCCTGAGCTTGGTGCTGGCGTCTCTGATTCTGCTGCTCCAGGGACAGGCTCATGGCCTGGGTGGTCATCTGCTGGGCCTTGGGAAAAGGAGAGGCAAACCCAGTAAGAGCCTGGGCTGGCCCGCACCCTCCAGGCAGCCCCGCTGCCCGGCCACAGTTCTTACCAGAATCATCGCCTGCTGGTTGATGAAGTTTTGCTGCTGTACTGCCAGCTGCCTTGTGTCCAAGCTGGGCATCAGAGGCTGTGGCTGGGGCGGTACCATCATGGCTGTGAAGAACAGCGGATGCCCGGAGCAGGTGAGCGCCATGGGCAGACTTGAATCTCTTGGTCCTAGGTACCATCTGGACTCCCAGCAGGACCCTCCCGCACACCTTTAGTCCTGTGAGTTTTTCTCCTGGTTCCCTTAACCCAGCCTCACCTGGCATGGTTGGGACTGTGCCCATGGCTGGCATCATGGGCATCGGTGCGGGTATCATAGCTGGCTGGTAGTTGGGTGCCTGCACCATACCTGGGTACACTAAGGGAACAGGGTCTCTCAGGTCCAGTTCTATTTGATCCCCACATACCTTCTTCTCCCTCCAGCCCCAGATAAAGAGAAAAGCATTGGCTGCTGGGGTACCGGCCAGAGCTTCCATCTCAGCTGCCTGAAGAGGAGATTCAGAACGCCCCTACCTGTGCTGCTAGGCCTGGGAGGCCCTAGAGAGGCAGCATCTGTACTCACTCATGGGGTAGCCCTGCTGGGTGGGCCCAATAGAGCCCCCTCCCTTCATGCGTCTGTTCAGGGCCCAGCCTTGTTCCAGATCCTGAAGGGACAATGTACAGCGTCAAAGCTACAGCCTGGGAGGAAGAGGAGTGGCCAGGCCCAGCCCCAGTCTTGGCCTCAGCCCCAAAGCAAAGGGGATGATGGGCAGGCCACTCACACTGAAGCCTGGGGAGAGGGCTGGCTCAAAGAGGTGGTCCAAGAAACCATCCAGGTTCCCCAGCTTCCTGACCTCACCTGTTGGGCAAGGGTATGTTACTTCATCCATGGGGTGAGAGGCCACCCCTGAGCCCAGTCCCAGCGCTCTGCCTTACCTGGAGGGCCGCTGCTAGGCAGTACTGGGGCTGGACCTGGAGGGAGTCCTGGGGGCAGAGGTGGAGCCTGGACACCAGGGGCTGGAGGGATGTTCTCAGCTCTGTGGGAAAGAGTGGGTCTAGCTAAGGGACTGTGTGGGAGTCACCTCTAAGAGGAGTGAGGGGCCTTAAACATCTGCACCACACCATGTGATGGCAGGGTGGCTGTGCGAGTGACCAGCTAGGGATAGAGCAGATGGGTGGTACATACAAACCAAGAGGAGCGATGGGGTAGTTGTGGGGACCAGATGGGTCTCCCAAGTCCTCAGTCTGGCCTATCAGGTCCAACACAAAGTCACAGCCAGGCAAGTCCTGCCAAGCATCCCCAGAATGCAGTGACACAGACCAGCCACGAGGGGGCGCCTCCAGGCCTCTGGGAGGGACAGGAGAGAGACATGGAGGTGATCAGGAGTAGGCAGGTGACAACCCTTCAGGAATGGAGGGCAGTCTCTGAGGGCAGGAGCCCTTCCTCATGATGTCCTCATCCCACGTGTGAGCCAGGGGCTCAACCTCACTCAGAAGTCTCAGAATGAGACTCCTATTTGTACCTGAAAGCCCTTCTGGTTATCTTCAGGTTCTAATATCCCATTCGCTTGCCTATGGAGTTAGGATCTGGGCCTTATGCTATCCCAGGGCCCGTCATTTACAATCTCTATGTTCTTTCTGGAATCTACAGTTGGAGTTCACTCACCCTAAAACCTCTTTCTATTCACTGAGGAACAGCGTCCATCCCTGGGCCCTTGGGGACGTGCAGCGAGAGCAGCTGTCAATGGTCAGTCTGCTGCACTGTCCCACCCTGAGGTCCCCATACCTGCTCTGTAGGATCCAGCCTGCAAGCTGCTCTCCCGTGGTCCAGGAGTCCACTTCTGCGGAGTAGCTTTCCTCTGAGGAAGGGCCGTTAGAGGGAGGGTAAGAGACACAGGGACACCCTGACAGTAAGTAGTTACCATCCCCATACCAGACAGAGGACATGAGGATCACAGGGAAGGTCAGTAAGATGGATGAGGCAGGAGGAGACCAGGGAGCAAGACAGGGGTGGCTCCAGTGGCTGAGGGAGGCAGGCCTCACCGTTGAACGTGAACACATCCAGCGCCATGCGGCCCCGCCGCAATCCAGCCTTCCACTCAAGTTGTGTGGGTGGGTGGGACCTTGAGGCCATGGGAGCCAGCGGTGTCTGCTCGAGAGCACCTAACAGCTTGTGCTGGCACAGGGCTGCCATGCCACTGGGGGCCTGGTCAGATACAAATCTGTGGGGACAACATGGAGCTGCTGTAAGCTTGGTGGGGGGTCTGGTCCCACTCACAGGGCCCTGACCACTGGGCTTCCTACTTGAGCAGCGGCTTCTCCAGGGCAGGTGTAGGGGGGAAAGAGCTGAGCAGGATAGCCATTAGGGCCCAGCCACGCTGACACTGTTGCTCATCCGGGTTGCGCCACAGCTGGGCCACCAACTGGCTGAAGAGCTCATCTCGAAAGCCCGGCTGGCGCTGTGCCTGCTGCACCAGGAATGTACCCATGGTTTGCTCTTGCCAAGACTGCAGGGATCCTTCCCCGAGGAGACGCAGCATCTGTTGACACAAAAGCCAGGGCAGGAAGCACAGGGCTCCCCTGTACCTTTCCTGTCCCTACAGTGGCCACCGTGTCCCTCCTGGAGGAGTCGCTCACCACCCTATTGATCTCCAGAGCCTTCTGAGGGTTCTCGCCATCCAACCGTGTCAGGGGCTCATCCAGTGGCTGCCCTGGTTGAGGCAGAAATGGCTTCTGGAGGGAAGGAGGGTGACATAGTGTTTGTCCTCTGAGTTGACCAGAGAATCCACTCCTCAAGGACACCCCACCCCCACCCCAGAGCATGTATCCTGAGAGGAGGAAAGATGCGAGTGTGTGTGTGTGTTACACAGACATGCATGTGTAGGTGTGCCCCAGGAGGATACCAGTCATCTTCCTTATTTGCCCTGAGATAGTCTGTTACGGAACTGAAAAGCTTGTCGTTTTGCATAGGCCGAATGGCCAGCAAATTCCATCTGCATCTGCTTCCTAATATTGGGGTTACAGACATCATGGTCATACCTGGCTTCTTACATGCGTGCTGGAGATTTGAATCCAAGAGTGCTCAGGAAGCTCTAGTCCCAGTGAGAAGCTCCCCACCCTTTAACTGTTCTTTCATTAACTGACACCAAGCCAGGTGGAGTGTCCCACACCTTCAATCCCAGCACTTGGGAGGCAGAGGCAGGCTGAGGACCTCTAGAAGGAGTTCCAGGCCAGCCAGGACCACCAAAGTTAAGACCCTGCCTTTAACTTTTTTATTAAAATAAGGTTGGGCATGGTGGCAAACACCTTTAATCCCAGCACCTGGGAGGCAGGGGTAGGTGCATCTCTGAATTTGAGGTCAGTCTGGTCTGCAGAGTGAGTGCCAGGACAAAAGGGCTACATAGTGAGACCCTGTCTCAATGAATAAATTAATCAAAATAAATTGGTAAATAAACTAAGACAAGAAGCTTCTTGTACATGCCGTTGTGAATCCTGCTATCGTATTTAATCCTCTGGCATTTAAGTTTCTCTTGCTGTTAAATCTTCTTTAAGGACACAACTTTAATGTAGGGCAATGCCATGGGTACGGTAAAGGTGTGGCCGAAATAAGCCTGTGTGTCAGAGACTTCTGTGTAAGGACTGCTTTCCAAGCAGCTCTGTTGACCATGGGGATGGCCTGGGAGAAGGTGGCGGCCCCATTTCTGCCTGACAGGTGTTACACAGGAGTTTCTGAATGCTGCTGGAAGCCCAGAGGTGTCTCACCTGGAAGCTGGTCAACACAAAACTGGAGAAGGGAAACTGGTCAATGTCTGGAGGGAGACTGAGGCTGGGCCGGGCTGGAACCTCAGGTGGCAGGCACTCTGTGATGCTCCCGGTCAGCATGGCCTGGTGGTCTGGGAAGGAACACAAGAGGCAGCCTGAGACACTCAAGACTGCCACTCTTCCTATCAGGTTGCTAACCACCATGGACAGAGCGCCGGGGTGAGTGGCTCAGGGAAAGAGGCAGGTGGGCCAGCCGAGCATAAGGAACTTTTCTCTACACCGAGAGGACTCACCTTCCGCCCTCTCCAGCAGAGCAGCCAGCTGGGCTGGGATCTCCAAGCGCCCCAGGTCCTGGTGGAGGGAACCAATGATCAGGAACTAAAGGACAGCCAAGAAAGACTGGGTTGCTCCCCCCTCCCCAAATCTCCAGAATGATAAGTGTCCCTAAGTGACACATCCTGGGAACAGATATGATCGGGTCTCCAGAGCCTCTGAGGAAAACCGAGAGTCCCAGTCTTCTGCTGAGATGGCACATAAGGGACAGGACCCTGATGGCATCCTATGTGTCACAGTCTTCCCCACTCTATACCAGGCTCACACCACACAGGACCCCTGCTTCCAGATCACTCACCATATTTGACGTTTTCCCCCAGGGCTCCCCTCTCTGCCGACCACGGGAACACTGTGGAAGATCCAGGAAGAGTTGATGCCCCCACACCACTAGCAGCCCATCCCCAACTCAGCAGCTCAGTGTCCTCTCTTGTCCCCAGGAGACAGGATGGTAGCAAAGGAATGTCATAGACCCAAAAGGGTACAACCACCCGACCTCACCTACCTCTACCCCCTCTCCACTCTCGCCGTCACCAGGCTGTGGCTGTCACTGCCTGTCTGCTAGGGCACCAGGAAGAGGTAAAGAAGGGAACGAATGGTCTCAGGGGACAGAGTCCAGCTGGGGAGGAGCCAGGGAGAGGAGCAGAAAGTAGGCATTGACCTTTGAGCAGCTTTATGATTCTCACAAAGGAGTCATCAGGCAGGAGAGAGAGAAGGGGGCCGTGGGGGCCTGGAGAGAACAGAAGGAACTGAGGCTAAAAGGGGGAGCCAGGCCTGGCGGGGTGGTGGGGCAGCAAGATGAAATAAGACAGGGCCCCAGCCGGAACAGGAAATGGAGGTGATCAGTAAGCAATGGGCTTGGATACTTCAGTCCTGGCAAGTTCAGGCTGTCAGGATTCTGCCCACTTGGCCAGCCAAGGTCACCTTTCTGGCTTCTATCCTGAGCTTCCCCACAATCCATGAACACTTTCAAAACCCTCTTACCTGTAGCTTCTGTCTTCTCCGGAGCAGGGGCTGAGCCACTAGGAGGATGGTGTTGAGCTGTCCCAGAGCTGACCTCCGCCGGAGATATCGCTTCCTGGAGGCCATAGGAGTAACGTGGGGGAGGGTGAGACCCGAAACTTAAGCTTCTTCCCTGGTACCAGAACCCTCTCTAAACCTAGACCACAGTGTGAAAATGGACTCTGGACTGGTGAATCCCCCAGTGTTTAACAGTAAAGAACAGAATGCTATGGTAAACCAGGAAATGTTTTGTTCTCGGACTGTTTCACTATGTAGACCAGGCTGGCCCTGAACCTGCCTCTGCCCCCTGAGTGCTATGAGTATAGGCATGTGCCACCACTTCCAGATTTTAGGATTTAAAAAAAAAAAGACATATTTATTTCATGTATGTGAGTACACTGTCACTGTCTTCAGATACATTAAAAAAAAGACGTATTTATTTCATGTATGTGAGTACACTGTCACTGTCTTCAGATACATTAAAAAAAAAGACGTATTTATTTCATGTATGTGAGTACACTGTCACTGTCTTCAGATACATTCAGAAGAGGTATCCCCATTACAGATGGTCGTGAGCCACCATGTGGTTGCTGGGAATTGAACTCAGGACCTCTGGAAGAGCAGTCAGTGCTCTTAACCGCTGAACCATCTCTCCAGTCCTAGTTTTTCGGATTCTTATTTTTAATTATGCATGTATGTGTGTGGGTGTGTCTACGTGTATGTGAGTGTAGGATTCATAGGTGGCCAGAAGAGGGCGTCAGATCTCTGGGGTCAGAGTTAGAGGCAGTTAGTCCCTTGACATAGGTGCTGGGAACTGGACGCTGGTCCTCTGTAGGAACTACAAATGTTCTTACCTCCTGAGCCATGTCTCCAGCCTCTTAGGTTTATTTTTACTACTTATCCCACTCAGAACTCCTTCACTGAGGAGACTGGTTTTCTCACAGCTGGGAAATTCTCAAAGATATTCTGTTTGCATGTTCCTTCTTCTGACCTCCAAGGGCTCCAGGCACACATGTGGTACACAACATAGATTCAAGGCACTCATACACATACAATAAATAAATAAGAATAAGCCTGGGGCCAGGAAGATGACTTAGTTGGCAAAGTGCTTGCTGCACAAACATGAGGAGCTAAACTCCAGGCCTCCTCATCCACACACACGACAGCCAGGTAAGGCAGCCGTCAGTAACCTCAACATCTGTAACCTCAGTGTCTGTGACCTCAGGGCCCAGGAGGTAGAGGCAGATAGATGCTTGGAGCTCACGGGCTACCCAGACTAGCCAAGTCAGCAAATCCTAGGCCAGGTCTCATGAAAGAAAGAGAGAGAGAGAGAGAGGAGAGAGGGAGGGAGAGAAGAAGAAAAGACAGATGGGCAGACAGACAGTCAGACAAGGAAAGAGCAAGGTATTGTGGCCTTTAATCCTAGCACTTAGAGGCAGAGGCAGGAGAAGCTCAGTGAATTCAAAGCTAACATGGTCTACAAAGTGAGTTTATAGACAGATAAACAGCCAGGGCTACAAAGTGAGATCCTGACTCAAAGAAAGAAAGAAAGGAAGAAAGAAAGAAAAAAAGAAAGAAAGAAAGAAAGAAAGAAAGAAAGAAAGAAAGAAAGAAAGAAAGAGAGAGAGAAAGAGAAAGGTAGATTGAGAACAACCAGGGAAGAGAGACTCTGTCAATCTCTGCTCTCCACACTCATGTGCACACATGAGTATCCACACCAGCAGGCACATCTCCACATTCACACATGCATACATACATGAACATGTACACACACAGAGACCACACACACCATTAGGACTGGAAGTGTGGCGCAGCTCACAGAGTCCTTTCTAGCATGCTCAAGTGCGTGGGTTTGATCCCCAGCACGAAAACTCGATCCATTGATCAAACAACCCAGCAGTCTGTCCAGAACTTTCATGTAGCAGAGGATGATACAAAGAAGGTATGAAGACAATGTTCAGAATAGAAAACCACCAAGTCACATGCTTAGTGGTGGCCCGATATCCAGAAAATATAGAGAATTCTTGCAGCTTCTGAACAGAGCTTATGTACTTGCAGGCAATACTTGTACACATAAAGTAAAATAGCACCCAGTAAGAGACCTGTGTGTGGTGGACGTCAATAGTTCCAGTGCTCAGGAGGCTGAGGCAAGAGGATGGTTTTGAGGCCAGCCTGGGCTATACAGCAAGATCCTATCTCAAGAGCAACCATACAAGATCCTCGAGAAAACTTGCTGCTCAGACAGAGGACCTGGGTTCTCGGCACTCACATGGTGGCTCACAACCATCTGTAACTCTAGTTTCAGGGGATTTGTTCCCTTCTTCGAATCTTCAAGAACACTGTATGTACATGCTGCATAAACACTCAGGAAAAGCACTCACAATGCATAAAATACACTTTTCCAAAATGCCAATGAAACAAAACAACAGGCCATGGGTTAGAACAGACATTTCCAGACGTGAGACTCACGTGAAAATATTCTCAGCACCGCAAGTCGTTAGAGAAATCAAGTCAAAAACAACCAGAGCTGGGCTCGAGACACACATCTTTAATCCCATCACTCAGGAGGCAGAGACAGGTGGATCTCAGAGTGCGAGGCCAGTCTGTCTATACAGAGAATTCCAAACCAGCAGAAGCTACATAGTGAAAATGTTTCAAAAACACAAAAACAGAAACAGAGATGGATTAGCAAAGAGGTGTGGCACTGTTTATACTGTCAGTTGGAATACAGACTGACCTAAACACCGTTAGAGGCACTGAGACAGATCCTCAAAGAGCAGAGCAGAGAGAATGACAGCTTGACCAGGCAGTTCTCTCCTAGGTACACACCCAGCACGCTATAAGGGAAAGCCCAACAGATGCTCTAACAGCCCCATTCCTAAGGGATGGGAGCGACCCACACAGCCATCAGCAAGAGGCTGTGAATCTGAAACGGTGGGACATTATTCAGCCGCAGAAAGCAAATGAAGTTCTGATCTGTGTTACAACACAGACTCTGAAGGCATTCAAAGCTAGGTAAATTAGGCCAGGCATAAAGGGAACAGGCCTGCAAACTGGCTTACAGGAAATACTTAGAATATGCAAATTGAGAGTTAGAGAACACACTGGGAGTTACTGGAAGCTGGCGGCTGGGTGGGGAGTCGGGAGTTACTGCTCCACGGACACTGCCTCAGGTTATGTGGTGAAAGTGTGTGGGGCACACTTTCACCAGACAGTAGTGCTGCTGAGTGGTAGTGTTACACACCTTTGATCCCAGCACTGGCTGGGAGGCAGAGGCAGGTGGATCTCAGTGAGTTCAAGGCCAGCCTGGTCTACAAAGCAAGTTTCAGGACAGCCAGGACTGATAGAGAAACCCAGCCTCAAAGAAACAAACAAAAAGATAGTAGTAATGGTTGCCCTTGATGGTGTTTCTCAACATGGCTTCCTTTATCTTATTTCTCAGCCCTCGCCTTGAGTCAATGGCAGCATTGACCCCTCCCCTGCAGCTAGCCCAGAAGGCCAAATCCCTGCAGCCTTTGTCCCTGTGTCTCCAGCATCCGGCCGGATGGACAGAATAGCTGTTGGATGCCAGGTGTGGTGGTGGGTGGATGTAATCTCAGATCCAGAAGGCTGAGGCAGGAGGATCATGGGTTTGAAGCCAGCCTGGTCTCCCCAGCCTTACCTTCACACTTTGGTCCTGGCTCCAGTACCTGCTTACCTGGCCTGGAGTCCACGCACACGAGCCTGCATCCGGGGCAGGAGACGGAGGCGCTGCCGGGTGATACAGGCTCGGAGGCCACGGTGCAGAGTGAGCAGGGCCTGTGAGCGCCGCTGAGCCCACAGCTGTTCTAGCTGCTGCCAGCCCTGCTCCTGCAGGAGGACCTGTGGGCAGAGGCAGGCTTCAGGAGGTGGGGGGTGAAGTAGGGGATGGGGTGGGGGGAGGAGAAGATTCAGGAAGCAGACTGGACATGTCTGTTCTTCTCCTCTGGCCTCAGCCTCCCCACATCTGGTCACACACTCTACTCTAGGGTCCCCAGAGTAGCCTGGCAGCCACCACACTCCCACTGAGAAGGACCACCTGATGCATAGCTTGTCCATGTTTAGCCCAGCAGGGGCCCCTCCTTTTCACGCACACCCGTCCCCTGTGCACTCACACGTACCTGGGTGACTCCAAGATGATAGAGCGGTGACTCTGCCCCCAGCACGTCACTGAGGATGACACCACATCTCTCCTGGTCAGAGACAGCTTTCTGTCTCCCTGACCCCAGAGCCCGGAACCTGTCCAAAAGACACAGAAATGGGCTCAGAAGAGCAAGGACCATTTTTTGTTTTGTTTGACACTTAATTGACAGCTGAATATGAACCCATTGATAATCACTCAATTTCTGGGTCAATCAACAACTTAGGAAATCTTGTGTCCTAGCTTCTGTTACTGTGATAGAACACCCTGACACAAAGCAACTTAGGAAAGAAGGGCTTTATTTGGCTTTAATTCTGGTTACAGTCCACTGGTGTAGTCCAGTCAAAGCAGGGACTTGAAACCTCTGGTGACATCACACCAGTCAGAAGCAGAGAGCAATGGATGCCTGCATTGGCGCGATTCAGGACTTCTGCCCCCAGGGAATGGCCTGCTAGACAGCCAGGTCTTCCTACGTTAATTAACGATCAAGACCGGTCTTCCACAGACATCACCACAGGGCAGGCGATCTGGACAGTTGACACTATCATCCAGGGCTGGAGAGATGGCTCAGAGGTTAAGAGCACTGACTGCTCTTCCACAGGTCCTGAGTTCAATTCCCAGCAACCACATGGTGGCTGACAACCATCTGTAATTGGGTTTGATGCCACTTTCCGGTGTGTCTGAAGATAGTGACAGTGAACCCACATACATGAAATCAATAAATAAATAAATCTTTAAAAAACAAACAAAAAAACTCTTATCATCCAGCTAGGTGGGGGTGGTGCACATGCCTTTAATCCCAGCAGAGGCAGGCAGATCTCTGAGTTGGAGGCCAGCCTGGTCTATAGAGAGTTCTAGAACAGCCAGGGCTACAACAGAGAAACCTTGTCTCAAAAAACAATAACAAAACCTAACCATCTTCCAGAGCTGGAGAGATGGTTCAGTGGTTAGGAGCACTCTCAGCCCTTGCAGAGGACACAGGTTCAGTTCCCAGTACCCGTGACTCAGCTTACAATTGCCTGTAACTACAGTTCTGGGGATCTGACTCCCTGTTCTGAACTGAGTAAGCACCAGCATGCTCATAATGCAATACCTACCTCTCTCTCTCTCACACACACACACACACACACACACACACACACACACACACACAAACAAACACACACACACACACACACACACACACACAAATAAACCTAACAAAACACAAGTCTTTTTCCAGCTGACTCTAAGGCGTGTCATGTTGACAGTGAAGTCAACTGGCTAGACCCAGGCAGGGTACTGACTTCAGGCAGAGAGCGGAGCAGGTGAGCCCTCTGCTCTGGAGAAGGGGCAGGTAGAAGGTACCACGAGGCCAGGCGAGGCTAAGGAAGCAACAGGTGTGACCCAGTGGCTCTCTAGGAAGCCTGATACACACTAACAGGGGGTTGGGGTGGGGGCTCAATGAATGTCTGCAGAGGGCAGGGCAGGGTGGAACTGCAGGGCAGGTCATCAACAGACCTAGCCAAGGCTGGGAAGACAATGTCCTCCTCAGTCCAGAGCTCAGAGCTTCCTAGAAGAGGTGACAGTCAGTGATTTGGCAACTGTCCCAGGGCAAGGGCAACACCTTCTCACCTGTTATGTGTCATTCTCTAGATGAGGGACACTCACTACACTCACCTAGTGCCTGCTTCAGGCTCCACCCCTCAGCTAAGCTGAGGGTGGCCAGAGCCCTGAGGGGAAACCTCAGAGGGTGTCCAGAGGCGAGAGACACGGCTCCCCGAGGCTGCCTCTGCACCTGCCATTCCTTATCACGGAAAGGCTCTGCGAACTATGATCCGTCATCTCACTGATTCAGTCACAGCCTCGTGATCCTGGCTGTGCCCAACAGGCTGCATGGTAAGGTCCCAGGGCAGGCAGGGTGCCAGTCATCTCCAGCAGGGCATTAGCTCTGAGGAGATGAGGAGAATATAGAAAGCAGTATGAGTGAGAGCGTGTGTGTGAGCGAGTGTGTGAGCATGCATGTGTGAGCATGCATGTGTGAGCTTGCATGTGTAAGCGTGTGAGCAAGCATGTGTGAGTGTACATGTGTGAGCAAGCATGTGTGAGTGTACATGTGTGAGCAAGCATGTGTGAGCGAGTGTGTGAGCATGCATGTGTGAGCAAGCATGTGTGAGTGTACATGTGTGAGCAAGCATGTGTGAGTGTACATGTATAAGCAAGCATGTGTGAGCGAGTGTGTGAGCATGCATGTGTGAGCAAGCATGTGTGAGCATGCATGTGTGAGTGAGTGTGTGAGCGTGCATGTGTGAGCGTGCATGTGTGTGCAAGCATGTGTGAGCGAGTGTGTGAGCATGCATGTGTGAGCAAGCATGTGTGAGCGAGTGTGTGAGCATGCATGTGTGAGCAAGCATGTGTGAGCATGCATGTGTGAGTGAGTGTGTGAGCGTGCATGTGTGAGCGTGCATGTGTGAGCATGCATGTGTGAGCATGCATGTGTGAGCATGCATGTGTGAGCGAGTGTGTGAGCATGCATGTGTGAGCATGCATGTGTGTGCAAGC